ATTAATATTCATTCAAAATATATGATTTATTAATTGAAATAAAAATACTTTACTTATGATAGTAATCCACATTTTGTTTGCTCATAATACTTCTCATTTCTCCTGGACTGGCCTGCTGACTTAAAGTAGTATGAAAATATAAAGAGTATTTAGCTAATATGCTACTACGTAGTTTCACTAACCATTGATATAATGCTGGTTGTTGATTTGCTTTCAAAAATGAAGCACTGAAACCTAATTTCCATGACTAAAAATATAATATTTATTATTTAAACATATTTATTTCTTCTTTATATAATATCTTTTTTATTTAATATACTAACTTCTTTACTTTGTAAAGTTCTTTCCCAAGCTGACATTCGTGTCTGTGCACCATAAAGAGCCATTAATGTTGATAAAAATCTCCAATGTTGAAGTTCAACTTGTGTTTTTGTTAATTGTACTAGTATTTCGCACTCTAAGCTAATCAAAAGATGTTTTAATTTTAGAAAAAATAAATTATAATCACAATTCGTAGTTATGAATTTTTATTTCATTTTTATTTGTACTTACGTTAAGCTTGTTTTAATAGCAGTTAATGCTAAATGTGAGCAAGATAAAGAATGAATTTCTACTATTCCTTCTATACATTGTAATAATTCTTGATATTTCATACTTTTACTATTGATACTCATATTGTACATTTTTTCATAACTGTAATATAATATTATTATGAGATATTTAATAATAAATTCAACAATCAATCAACAATATACTAACAAATCTATCAGTTGTATTTTTGCAGTAATATATTGACATAGTTGATTAGAAACCTCAGCAACTGTTGCACCAATAGAATTGGTTCCTCTAGTCATTTCCTCTACTCTTTTTAGATCAGATTTTAAAGATTCATATACTGTTTTTAATGAATTCTAAAAAAAAAGAGAAAAATAATTATAAATATTAAACATTTATAAATTTTATTAATTATAATATAATATATTAAAATAATATTAATTATTTATTAATTCATTATATTAATTTTATTTTTTATTCATTATAGTTATTTTATATTATTTTACAAAATATTAACATATTTCTTACATCTTTCCTTAAAAATCCTTTATTTTTGGTATGAAGGAACCTAAATCTGCATATGAATGTTCTGCTACTGCTATTTGTGGTAAATGCATAAGTAACATTCCCCATGGACCCATTTGTGTTTGACGACATAATCCACGTTCTTTTTCCTAAATATTAATAATTAAGAACACATTAATTTTACTATTAATTTATATCATTTTATTTCTTATTATAATATCAAATCTATTTTATCTATTTAAAATTTTTCAATATTTTAAGCTTTTTCAAAAATTCTGAGAAAATTCAAAATTATCAATATTTTATTTAATCGTTCATTTTTTATTTGTTAAAAATTTTTAAAATAAAAATAAAAATATATAATAATATATATATATATATATATATGTATATAACTTACAACTAATTCTTTAGCTTTATCAGTACACAATTGAGCAACTTGAGCGAAGAAAGTATTAAGAAATTCTTCTTCGTGATCCATTTTTTATCTATATTTATTATAATCACAAAATGCTTTACGTTTATTTTCATTAATCATATTTTTAAAGGTAAATATAATAAATTCTTAAATATAATATAATGTATATATTATACTAAATTGTTATTAATATTGATGATCATATCTTTAAAGGTGGATATTCATTTCTTTCTTTTGCGCATTGCGAACTTGACATTATTTAGCTTAAAAATAAGCTTTTAAGAAAGTTATAATAACTTGCATTTACATGAAAAATCTAAATAATCTTAAGGGAAAAGGTTGAAATTTTTTTCAATAAAATCTGAAATTTAAAATTAGTTATATAATATATGTTTTAAAATTTTATTATTTTTGAAATTAAATTATCTTTTCTAAATCCTCTGAATCTTGATCACATGATTTTGCAATTCAATTCATTAAAGATACTAAAATAATTCAGTGTATGCTTTGACAAATTTTTTTATTGGTCAATTTTGTAACATTAATTTGACCAATAAAAAAACTATCTAACTAATTTTATATAACTATCTAATTTTATATACAGTATTCAATCTTGTACAATTTTATATATTCAATCTAGTACAATTTTATATATTAAGTATGTTTAAATAACTTTTAAATTACTTTTATTTTCAAAAATAAAATAAGTGATTTTATGTTTTTTATTATCGGTCCGTATAATTTTTTACAAGTTTTATATTTTTTAGTAATATATTTTTTTATAAAAAATGAATTAATAAACAAATAAAATATTAAAGATCAATAAAAATAATATCATTTTATATGTTTCAAAATATATCCTATCCTTATATTTTATATTTTATAACATGCATTTAGCAATTCATGCATATATATGTAAATCATATACATATAACAAGAGTACAGGTTATGGATCGGATGGTAGCGATCAGTAGTTTCAGTCTGTATCATAATTTGTTCCTAACCACCCGTTTTCGTTAATTTAAATATTGTAATGAATTTAAAGTCAATTTCCTTTTTTAAATTAAATTTACTTTATGTATATTTTACAATTTTGATAAGTTAAAAATGTTGTAACATATTAAAACTACCGGTATTCTTATGTAGTATTTTATATGGAATTGAGAATACACATATATACATTGAATGTTTCATTTAATTTTATAATGTTCAATAAAACGTTGCAACTATAAATTGGCGATAAACAAAATATCACATTGTATCTCGATTGTCAATGTAATCAAGAAAAATTAATATGATCAATGTTAAAAGTCGCAAGAGAAAAGTTCAATGTGAAAAGTTGTTCGAGCTTAAAATAATTTTTCACTTAAACGAAAAAGTGATGTGGAAAGCTTCGTATGGGTATTGAACAAAATAATGTAATGTAGAAAAAAATCTTATAATGTGTTTTGTGCCATAATTTACATATATCGCCCAAATAACAAAAAGTATGTATAAAATTGCATTTTTGCCATGTTAATTTAATGATTGTTTCTCTACTTGATTTTTTTATAATATCTGTTTTTGAATCATGAATTTTTAAATATTCTTAGTTACATATTTCAAAATATATTAATAAATAATTTTAGTATTTTATAAAGTAATATGTATTACAATGCGAATTATCAAAAATAAAATCAGTCGTAAAAAATATTAGAAAATCTTAAAAAAAAAATAAATATTCAATCTTGATTATTTATTTTATTGTGATTTTTTATTTTAAATTATCAATAGTTATTTTAATTAGTGAATTAAATTAATATTTTCGTAGTAAAAGTCATGTAAATTATTTTCATCATGTGTGCAAATACAATTCATAATATTTCATAAATATATTTTCCTATATTTATCTATAAAATTATGTAGAATAAACATAAATAGTTAACCTTGAATTATTCACTGAAGTTTTATTGTTCATATTTACGTAGGATATGTAGAATGTGGATTAAAATTCCAAAAATAGAGAATACTATTTGATATAAAAATAAAATATTTGAGCAAATTAATAAAAATTAATATTTTGCAAGTTTAAGAAAAAGATACTCTAATTTATTCATGCATTTGGTTATAATTTTGTATATATATACATGTATGTGCATGATCGATAATTTTCGTATTACTAGTAATTTAAAAATATTTTATTTTGTATATTTTACCATATTATAATATTTTATATTTTACCAATAATATTTTACCATCATTTATGAAATTTAAAAAAAACTATTATAAGACAATTTAATTAGCAAATTTTTTCGAACTAAATATATTCAAAATAATATTTAATTATTTTTTGAAGTAATATTAAAATTAATTTATCATATATTATATTATTAAAAAATAAAATAAGAAATAATAGAGATTAGATATAACATTTATCGAAAATTATTCATATCCTTATTTCTTTTAGTTTTAATTCATTTTATCGAGAATGAGTTTTTTATAAAAATATTTTCTAATAATTTGATCAGTAAAAGGGGCGTATAATTCCAGAAAGATATAACATAATTATAAATTATTGTAATAAACACTTATCATTAAAGTTGCGATGACATTTTTTTATGTTACTATTCAATCAGAACATTTTCAATTTTTCATTAGATTAATTTTGTGACCTCGCTATAATATCTGTGTGCGCACATGATGACGAATGGTAATAAATGTTTATCTGCTTTCATATATCTCTTAAGAACGTAGAGAATTATAAAAGATATTTAGTCTTCTTGTTCTTGTGTAATTTGAAATATCTATTCGTTTCGAATTTTTAGTCTAATATATAAAATAATTCTTAATTATTACAAAAATTGTGAAATATTGAAAGTTAGAATTAATTAATTAAATAGATACAAAAAAAATATAATTTTTAATAAAAAAAATTTTAAATTTATGTATTTTGAAGATGAAATAACAAAATATCAATGAGTAATTCTTTTATATTTCTTTGTGATGTTAGTGCGATTTTATTTAAAAATTGTTAAATTTATTTATGTTATATATTTATTCATTTTATTAATGATTTTATCTTTGAGTATATTTCCATTATAAAATTTTACTATTTTTGTCATTGTTTTATATCATTTTTAAGCATTATTAAAAAACAACAAAAATTCAGATATGTATCCAACAATACATATCGAATTAGATTATTTTGTTCAATTTTTATATATAATATTTTCGATATTATACACAATAAATATGTTGTTATTATATTAACTATTATACTTTTGTGAAGTATTTTTATTTTTTATTAATTTTATAAAAGAAAATAAAATACATTGTTAATTCATTTAATTTAGTTAATTTATTTAATAAACGATTATTATTTATGAATCTAAGTGCAATGAATCTAAGTTTAAATTGTGAACTTATGTATGAACTTTGATCACATAAATGAACCATTTTTTAAATTATTTGTGATTATTATATTATATAAATATATTCGAGAGATTCGTCAATGAAATTACAGAAAAATGACTACGCACAAAGAGATTTCAACATCTTGTGAGGATAGTCTCGATGTCTCCAATAATGAAAAAAAAGTTAAACAAATGAAAAGATCGAAGTGTAAACTTGATGCAAACGGTCGACTAAATCTTAAAGATATTCTACTGTCTTTTAATGGACCAGTCAGCCAAGAACAAGCTTGGGCATTATGTTATCAAACGGCTAAAAGTTTGTCATGTTTACCGGGAAACAACTTTTATGAACTCTCGGAGTTATCGCAAATCGTCCTTCACAAGGATGGCGATGTTTGGCTTGGCGATCTAATCGGTAAGTTGATTTAATCTTTTCTAAAGAAAATTTATTCTCTATCGTGAAATCTTATCAATATATCAATTGTTTCATAATCAATAGGAGAAAAATAGATAATTATAAAAATTATAAAAATAGAAATAAAATGAATAAAAGAATGTATCTATATAATAGTTCTTAGATAATATATTTTTAAGTAGAATAATTATAAAACTATTTTTAAATTATATTTTTAAATATAATTCAAACATAATTCAAATAATTCAAATATAGTTACAATATAGTTTATATTACATATG